CTGTAGTTATGGTGTATATAAGTAAAGTTAACTGTAGTTATGGTGTATATAAGTAAAGTTAACTGTAGTTATGGTGTATATAAGTAAAGTTAACTGTAGTTATGGTGTATATAAGTAAAGTTAACTGTAGTTATGGTGTATATAAGTAAAGTTGACTGTAGTTATGGTGTATATAAGTAAAGTTAACTGTAGTTATGGTGTATATAAGTAAAGTTAATAGTAGTTATGTTGTATATAAGTAAAGTTAACTGTAGTTATGGTGTATATAAGTAAAGTTAACTGTAGTTATGTTGTATATAAGTAAAGTTAATAGTAGTTATGGTGTATATAAGTAAAGTTAATAGTAGTTATGTTGTATATAAGTAAAGTTGACTGTAGTTATGGTGTATATAAGTAAAGTTGACTGTAGTTATGGTGTATATAAGTAAAGTTGACTGTAGTTATGGTGTATATAAGTAAAGTTAACTGTAGTTATGGTGTATATAAGTAAAGTTAATAGTAGTTATGTTGTATATAAGTAAAGTTAACTGTAGTTATGGTGTATATAAGTAAAGTTAACTGTAGTTATGGTGTATATAAGTAAAGTTGACTGTAGTTATGGTGTATATAAGTAAAGTTAACTGTAGTTATGTTGTATATAAGTAAAGTTAACTGTAGTTATGGTGTATATAAGTAAAGTTAATAGTAGTTATGTTGTATATAAGTAAAGTTAACTGTAGTTATGGTGTATATAAGTAAAGTTAACTGTAGTTATGGTGTATATAAGTAAAGTTGACTGTAGTTATGGTGTATATAAGTAAAGTTAACTGTAGTTATGGTGTATATAAGTAAAGTTGATAGTAGTTATGGTGTATATAAGTAAAGTTAACTGTAGTTATGGTGTATATAAGTAAAGTTAACTGTAGTTATGGTGTATATAAGTAAAGTTAACTGTAGTTATGGTGTATATAAGTAAAGTTAACTGTAGTTATGGTGTATATAAGTAAAGTTAACTGTAGTTATGTTGTATATAAGTAAAGTTAACTGTAGTTATGGTGTATATAAGTAAAGTTAACTGTAGTTATGTTGTATATAAGTAAAGTTAATAGTAGTTATGGTGTATATAAGTAAAGTTAATAGTAGTTATGTTGTATATAAGTAAAGTTAATAGTAGTTATGGTGTATATAAGTAAAGTTAACTGTAGTTATGTTGTATATAAGTAAAGTTAACTGTAGTTATGGTGTATATAAGTAAAGTTAACTGTAGTTATGGTGTATATAAGTAAAGTTAACTGTAGTTATGGTGTATATAAGTAAAGTTGACTGTAGTTATGGTGTATATAAGTAAAGTTGACTGTAGTTATGGTGTATATAAGTAAAGTTAACTGTAGTTATAGTGTATATAAGTAAAGTTAACAGTAGTTATGGTGTATATAAGTAAAGTTAACAGTAGTTATGGTGTATATAAGTAAAGTTAACAGTAGTTATGGTGTATATAAGTAAAGTTGACTGTAGTTATGGTGTATATAAGTAAAGTTAACAGTAGTTATGGTGTATATAAGTAAAGTTAACAGTAGTTATGGTGTATATAAGTAAAGTTGACTGTAGTTATGGTGTATATAAGTAAAGTTGACTGTAGTTATGGTGTATATAAGTAAAGTTAACTGTAGTTATAGTGTATATAAGTAAAGTTAACAGTAGTTATGGTGTATATAAGTAAAGTTAACAGTAGTTATGGTGTATATAAGTAAAGTTAACAGTAGTTATGGTGTATATAAGTAAAGTTGACTGTAGTTATGGTGTATATAAGTAAAGTTAATAGTAGTTATGGTGTATATAAGTAAAGTTAACTGTAGTTATGGTGTATATAAGTAAAGTTAACTGTAGTTATGGTGTATATAAGTAAAGTTAACTGTAGTTATGTTGTATATAAGTAAAGTTAACTGTAGTTATGGTGTATATAAGTAAAGTTAACTGTAGTTATGTTGTATATAAGTAAAGTTAATAGTAGTTATGGTGTATATAAGTAAAGTTAATAGTAGTTATGTTGTATATAAGTAAAGTTAATAGTAGTTATGGTGTATATAAGTAAAGTTAACTGTAGTTATGTTGTATATAAGTAAAGTTGACTGTAGTTATGGTGTATATAAGTAAGGTTAACTGTAGTTATGTTGTATATAAGTAAAGTTAACTGTAGTTATGGTGTATATAAGTAAAGTTAACTGTAGTTATGGTGTATATAAGTAAAGTTAACTGTAGTTATGTTGTATATAAGTAAAGTTAATAGTAGTTATGGTGTATATAAGTAAAGTTAATAGTAGTTATGGTGTATATAAGTAAAGTTAATAGTAGTTATGTTGTATATAAGTAAAGTTAATAGTAGTTATGGTGTATATAAGTAAAGTTAACTGTAGTTATGTTGTATATAAGTAAAGTTGACTGTAGTTATGGTGTATATAAGTAAGGTTAACTGTAGTTATGTTGTATATAAGTAAAGTTAACTGTAGTTATGGTGTATATAAGTAAAGTTAACTGTAGTTATGGTGTATATAAGTAAAGTTAACTGTAGTTATGGTGTATATAAGTAAAGTTAATAGTAGTTATGGTGTATATAAGTAAAGTTGACTGTAGTTATGGTGTATATAAGTAAAGTTAACTGTAGTTATGGTGTATATAAGTAAAGTTAATAGTAGTTATGGTGTATATAAGTAAAGTTAACTGTAGTTATGGTGTATATAAGTAAAGTTAATAGTAGTTATGGTGTATATAAGTAAAGTTAACTGTAGTTATGGTGTATATAAGTAAAGTTGACTGTAGTTATGGTGTATATAAGTAAAGTTGACTGTAGTTATGGTGTATATAAGTAAAGTTAACTGTAGTTATGGTGTATATAAGTAAAGTTAATAGTAGTTATGGTGTATATAAGTAAAGTTAACTGTAGTTATGGTGTATATAAGTAAAGTTGACTGTAGTTATGGTGTATATAAGTAAAGTTAACTGTAGTTATGGTGTATATAAGTAAAGTTAACTGTAGTTATGGTGTATATAAGTAAAGTTAACTGTAGTTATGGTGTATATAAGTAAAGTTAACTGTAGTTATGGTGTATATAAGTAAAGTTAACTGTAGTTATGGTGTATATAAGTAAAGTTAACAGTAGTTATGTTGTATATAAGTAAAGTTGACTGTAGTTATGGTGTATATAAGTAAAGTTAACTGTAGTTATGGTGTATATAAGTAAAGTTAACTGTAGTTATGGTGTATATAAGTAAAGTTAATAGTAGTTATGGTGTATATAAGTAAAGTTAATAGTAGTTATGGTGTATATAAGTAAAGTTAACAGTAGTTATGGTGTATATAAGTAAAGTTAACTGTAGTTATGGTGTATATAAGTAAAGTTAACTGTAGTTATGGTGTATATAAGTAAAGTTAATAGTAGTTATGGTGTATATAAGTAAAGTTAACTGTAGTTATGGTGTATATAAGTAAAGTTAACTGTAGTTATGGTGTATATAAGTAAAGTTAATAGTAGTTATGGTGTATATAAGTAAAGTTGACTGTAGTTATGGTGTATATAAGTAAAGTTGACTGTAGTTATGGTGTATATAAGTAAAGTTAACTGTAGTTATGGTGCATATAAGTAAAGTTAATAGTAGTTATTAGACCGGTTCATAAAACAAAAATGTTCTTGAATAATTATGAGTATGTTCTTATCTGTTGATCCCTAGGTTCAAATACCACCAAAAAAAAATTTCAAGTTCCAACTCTTCCATCTTAGTCCCGCTCCGGCCACGCCCATATTTTATTGGTTTCTTATACAGGTAAAATATCTAAAATCGGCTTTTTTAGTATGAAGGAGTAATGTTGGCTGTTTAAGATTCGTTATTCAAATATAAATGTCATAAAGGCATTTTACCTGTATAAGAAACCAATAAAATATGGGCGTGGCCGGAGCGGGACTAAGATGGAAGAGTTGGAACTTGAAATTTTTTTTGGTGGTATTTGAACCTAGGGATCAACAGATAAGAACATACTCATAATTATTCAAGAACATTTTTGTTTTATGAACCGGTCTAGTAGTTATGGTGTATATAAGATTAATTTCCCACGAAGACTTTTTCTGAGAAAAGCTTCTTAAAATAAATGTAACCTTCAATAAAAGGCCTTCTTCAAAAAGGCCAAATCGTATTTTCAAGATGAGATACAAACTGAAATATAAAACTCCTCTGACTCTTCGGACTACATTAAATCAATTCCTTCTGTGACGTCCTCAATAAATATAATAGATTTTTAGTGTTGTAATATGTTTTTTTTCTCAAAAAATCAAAGAGCAACAGGTTGATAAAAAATCTGTACAATGTGGTCAAAGGAAATCTTGGCCGCTATACGACTCCGCATAAGTCCTAATCTATTCCAGAACAGTGGACACTGGTGTCGATGCAGATTGAACAGATTTTTTACTTGGCTAGGAGTCATAAATCCTTAATAGCTTAACAACGTGTATGAGGTTTTACTATTTTATCAATTCATCTACCCGTGCTTAATAAAGCTACAAAAGGAAATAGTATTATATACAGTACGGATTGTCGTCTTTTCCAATAATTAAGTTCTCGAAAATTAAGTATCTAAAAAGCTTGAAACTGGCTTGAAATGCCTATTTGTAAATAAACATTAAACGAGCTCTGTTAGTAAAAGATGACTCAGGAAAATCTTAGTTAGAATCGGGAATCGGAATACGGTTGATCCGTAAAATTGTGCCCCGCCTCTCACGTTTATGAGGTATTTAATAAATTATTTAATAAAATAGCTATTCAATATTCGACAAGGCAAACTTTTAACGAAGTATGATTTTAATAAAACATGATTCGCTCAAAAATTCCAATCTTTCGCAGAGCCTTGCAAGACAGCATTAACTTCGACAACGCCTCTCACTGGGGCCTCGCCTGTTTTTCTCCTGTTTCTATTCAAAGTTACTCAAATCATACCGATAAAAGTAACACTAACAGCTCTCCTTTTATTTCAGCACAGAAGAATTGGAAAAGCTAATGGACAATGACGCAGCAGTTTTGGAGTATTTCGAGAGCAGAGATGATATAAAGAGGTTTTGATTTTACTATCATAATTTGGATTCAACTCATCAAAGGTTTATTTGTTTGTTTTTGCCTTGTGAGGCGGCATCCACTCTACCTCGATACCTGAGTAAGAAGTCTACTTACTGGGCTGACTGGGGTCCCTCTAGTGCAGGAACTGAGCTTATTACTTAGCTATTCGTGCTTTTCATACAAGTGAAAACAAATTCTTCGTGTTATGAAGCAAGTGTTTGAACTGGCTTTTATCCGCTTAAAATATTTCCATCACGATACATAGTCATAATACTCAATAAATGTTATAGATTTGTAGTTAAGTGTTGTAATTAGTTAAACTCAGTACTAGCATTTAAAATCGCTTAAATAGTGACCTTCATTTAAACTATGTTCTGGGCCAAGTTTGTGGACGGCTACATCCTGGTGCTAAGTTATTGGGAGGATGTCACCCAGAACACGGCAGCTTCCTGACAGCTTCACATCAGCCCTCCTATTGGTGAATCATTACTGGAGTGGGAACCTGCGAGTGATGGCCTCGTGTTGTCTGTTATTGATAAATAATGCCTTTATTAGTAATACGAAAGGTTTTATTAAGCTAAACGATTTCGTCTGAATCATTTAAGCTGAGTAATATCTACAATGTTACGTTTGTGTAATCAATCTTTATCCCGATCAAAATAATTTTACAACCGCTGTTAAAGCATTTCTGTGATCGGTTGAAAACGTCTGATTCCCAAGATAAGCATTTTAAATCGCTTAAATAGAGGCCCTCATTAAAATGTTGAGGAAGCTGAATAAATCGAAAGCCACTACATAATGGATTAAAAGTACAGAAAGACTTCTGTGGTCTGGGATTCAGTGGTCTTTAACGATGAGATATTTTACGTCAGGAAACCAGAGCTGCAATTTGCTGCACTAATAGGATTTGCTCTACAAATGTATTTTCCACAAGTGTGTGATTAGAAGATGAGTATGTAGGAGTTCACAGTGCGTCTTTGAAGCTGATTTTATCAGCATGAACTTCAGAAATTAGTCTCGTATTTGGAAGCAAGCCGGGACTCGGCACTCCATTAACTAGCCTGTTAAATGTTACAGTACCTAAAGAGGCACTCCCTTAACTAGCTTGTTAAATGTTACAGTAACTCAAGAGACAACTACGGGCCGGGCATAAAACTAGCACTAACTAACTTCCTTGCATCCAAATTTAATGGACAGTTCTGGTGGCCAAACTGATCATCAGATCACGAGTAGTCTAGGGTTTTAAAGAGTCTAGGGTTTTGAAGAGTTGTGTTGGTCTCACTAAACGAAACACCATCGCTGTGTCAACTCTCCAGACATTAACATATGGCACCCTGGTCAATGACATAACGCCTCAATATTGGATCTATTAAATATCAAGACATTCACATGCAGCTGGTTTAATATACCTAAAATGCACTTCGATTGGTCAATCTTTCCCTGGAACATAAATACCTATTTAATATCTTGCCATACGATTCCTGCATCGACCATCCTCATATATATAATGACGTGATATGATGACTGAATTTGTGGGCTAAATGCTCCTTTCAAGTAAAAATCCATATAAAATAGCAGTCTTCTGATTATTTAAAAAGCAAGCATTACATCGGTGCAAAGTTTTGAACTGCTTGTTTTTTTAGACTACAAGAAGATAGGACGAAGATAGTGGAACGAAACGAGACACTAGCCCTCGAGAACCTCACCCTAAAACCGCAATTAGAGGAAAAACAGCAGGAACTCATTGCTCTGGTAAGAATGTTTTCTATGGTATTTTATTTTTAAAGCCTCCTTCTTTCATTTAGCCGTTGATAAGTGGTTAGAATACTTTCTATTGATACCTAAAAACAAGAACTGCCTTTTTATCCATCCACTTATTAGAACGTGTTCCGTTTTGTACCTTTTAACTTTCCATATTTTTGGGGCCTTAGTGGTTAACACATGCTCTTGTCATCACATTCCTTTATCTCAACAAAATTTATAGATTGTACCATGTTTTTTGGTAAATTTTCGATTAAAACTGTGCGGCTATTCTGGAATGTAGCCATTGTTTTTCTCTTGAATTTAAGGAATTCTAAAATAGTCAAACTATTAATGGATATCAAATCTGTCTTTATAACCCATAAACAGACTGATACAATAGAAGAGCCGAATTAAAATTGCCCGCTCTTTTCGTTCACCAGACACTTTAATTTTTCATCAATTTGTGTCGAGTCAGGTGGTTGTGCCTGACTAAACCTCTTTTTATGAGATTAGAGAAATGAAGAATGTCTATTGTGATTTATAAAATTATGGTATTGAGATAGGGCAAAATAGATCGTGATGTGTATAAGCTAGATCTAGTGTTCGATTAAAGATACGCTTTCATTCTCAGCAGATTCATTAAATTTCCGAATCTATTGTGCCGGCGTTTGTTGCGTGCGTGATGAAATGCAAAAGAAATCACTCAATCGCTCAACAAAGCAGACCCAGCTCCAAGATTAAATCATAACCCCCCCCCCCCCATCATAACTGATAACGCTTCTCTTACATAGTGTTATCAATAATCAAACATAACGCTTCTCTTACATAGTGTTATCAATAATCAAACATAACGCTTCTCTTACATAGTGTTATCAATAATCAAACATAACGCTTCTCTTACATAGTGTTATCAATAATCAAACATAACGCTTCTCTTACATAGTGTTATCAATAATCAAACACTAGATTTGTCGTATTATTATCAATTGTTCGACAGTTTAGCTGCTGAAAGACGTGATAAACAATCGGCATATCCAATAGTCAATACAGCTATTACAGTTAGTAATAGCTGTTTAGTATTACAACATTTTATGCCAATCATTTAACTTGTTGTTATTAGTTGAAGTCCAATACAATTTTTAACCTGTATTCTTCACAGTTTGGGCAGTATTTGGCATCTTTTATTTCAGTCTTGAGATGTGATCTTGAGAGATATTTATGTTTTTGAAATCCCCACCACAATCTAAAATCTGTACTTAAACTTTGTAATAATTGGCATTTTCTTATACGTAGATAATGTTGCAAGTTTACACGGTAAAATTTTGCGCTTGGAGAAAACAACCAATACTACCATGCCGTCACAATACTACCACCACTGGTACGCATGGTGCCACCACTGGTACGCATGGTGCCACCACTGGTACGCATGGTGCCACCACTGGTACGCATGGTGCCACCACTGGTACGCATGGTGCCACCACTGGTACGCATGGTGCCACCACTGGTACGCATGGTGCCACCACTGGTACGCATGGTGCCACCACAACACAATCAGTTATGTCATTAACTGCCCATTATGTATTTAACTAATGGCGCCTTCAGTTATGCCACTAACGTTATCAATTAGATATTTAGTTATTTCTCTTAGCTTGTCTTCTTCTCTTAGCTAGTCATACTCATAGTCTTCCGTAAGGGTTGCAATCACTTCGGATTGCAGGTTGCATGCCTTGGACTCAGCAGCACTACTAATGCTCTATCGGCTCAAATATGCTAGGATTGAAATAATGAACGCCTGTTAATAATCTGGCGACAGATTGGTGGCCTGTTTGGAATGCTTTGATATTTTCAATAATTTACCATTATATACTTTCTTATTCGACTAAGATAAGCAAAAGTCACGAGCAGAGTAATGGCTTATTATTCGGCAAGTTTCCATAAACGATATTTTATGATCGGCGCCGATAATCGCTTATTGAGCGCTTTTTCGGCGCTTTTTTGAAAAAAAACCGTTTACAATCGCTTTTTTTACGATTATAAACGGTTCAAAAAAAATCGCTTATAATCGACTATAATTGATGTCATAATTCAAAAAAGCGCTTTTTTGAATTTAAAAGCGCTTATAAGCGCTTTTAAGCGCTTACTAGCGTCGCTGAGCGATTTGAAAGCGGTTTTCCAGTAGGATTGGCGCCAAAAACGGGTGGATAAGCGGTTGGCCGGATAAGCGATTCGTAGGCGCTTTTTTGAACCATTTATAAGCGATTATAAGCGCTTATAATTGGGGTGCAATTTAGCTGTTTGTAAAGCGCAAATAAAGCGCTTATAAGCGCTTTTAAAATTGAGTCAGGAAAACGCTATATTACATCTTATAACCGCTTATAATCGATTATAATCGCTTTTTTAGAAATCGCTTATAACGGCTAATTCATCGCTATTTCACCGCTTTTACCGCTTTTCCTATCATCCATGGCCAGGTGAGCAGGAATTAAAAAGCGCTTATAAGCGCTTTTTCGATGCTGCCCTAACCTGGTCGGAACAGAATAGTGCCCGGAATTTAAAAGCGCTTATAAGCGATTTCTCAACTCCCCTTTACTTGGTCGGAACTTGCATGTGCTTTTCTGAGCAACCTGGGGTGCACCGGCAGAGTCAGGATTTAAAAGCGCTTATAGGCGCTTATGATTGCTTTTCTACCGCTTTTCCTATCGCCCATGGCCTGGTTGGTAGGAATTAGAAAGCGCTTATAAGCACTTTTTCAATGCTGCCCCTAGGCCCTAACCTGGTCGGAACGGGGGAGTGCCCGGAACTAAAGAGCGCTTATAAGCCCCCTCACTTCTTGACTTGTGAAACAAGCGCGCCCGACGTGGCGCGAAAGCACATGGTTAGATGAAGGGTGCCATATTTGATGGTGCGCGGCTTTTGGAGCAAAATTAGCTGTAAAAGTCGCGTAATTTGACCAAATTCGTTGATTTTTGTCGTATTATTTCGGACACTTTCCTTGTAAGTCTATGAGTAAGCTCGCCAATTTTTGTTGCAATCGGAGGTCGGGAAGGATACTCAATATCTATTTGTTTGAAGAAAATTGTGCTGGCCGAAATTAGCGCTAAAAAACCATCCTACTACTATACAGTCGGCACGCGCGGCTCACTGTCGATGGCATGGCGCACTAGCTATCTGGATAGAGCAACGGCAGCACGAAGGCACATGGTTAGACTTAGGTGCAAAATAATCGAACATGCAGAAACTCTTAGCTTTATTGCATTGTATATCATGTGTACGCTTATTTTTATATAAAAACCGGCTCTTGCTAATTCGCTCGCCCAAAAATTTCACGTGACCTTGGTTTTTATGGTTTTGCAGCCGTACAAAACAGTTTTACATAAACCCTAATCCCAACCCTAACCCTAACCATAACCCCGAAGCTATTCATAACCCGCGTACCACAACCCTAACCCTAACATGAGCCCTAAACAATCGAAATCATGTTTTACTAGCCTGTCACGTGACTAAAACGGTTTTTGCCCATGTAACTCTCCAGGGAAGTATTTTTACCCTACGTCATGGCGGGTGATTCGGGATCAGCGTCTAAAAAATACACCGATTCAGATCAATATCATACCCAAAAGCCTTTTCACAAGAATTTTCTTAAAATTTTGGCGAGCGATTTCGTAGCTGAGCGACCTGCGACTCAAACGTGCAAGCTGGCGCGGTTTATTTGTTGCAGTTTTACTATCTAATATTATTACTATTAGTAATAACCAGATTTTACAAGCTATCTCAGCACGCGCGCGGCTTTTTTAGTGTATACATTACTTTTTTCCTATAGGTACTCAGCGTGCACGTGTTTTTTATGTCCACGATTGATTATGAACAAGTACGTGAATGCTGGTCACGCACACACTAACTTTCAATGAGCACCGCACTTTTTTCAGACGTCGTGATTCGCTCAACCCGCGACTAGAGATTCCTTGGAATGACATAAACAGGCCTGTCATACTCGTTGACAGACTGAGCGTGGCCCAGCGCAATAATTTAATTTCATATACTATACTTTTCTTTTGCAAGTTCTGAATGTGAAGTGTGTCAGTGTATGACTAATGACGCAGCGCGCATCGACCGCCACCAGGACAACCGCCACCATTAACAACATATAAATAAACGCTTGCAAGCGCTTTACAATTTCTGACAATTATTGTCGGAGAACTTTGCCGCGCTGTGCACTTAGCCTTCTTACTTGGCTTCTAGATCGCCAATCAAACAACTATGTTTAAATCCATGGTGATAAATGATAGATAAAGCGGTAAAAACCAGTAATAAAAAGTGATTGTAATCGCTTATAACCACTTTTCAAATCCTGACTCCCGCCAGTGCATGACAGGTTTAGGGGCATCGAGAAAAGCGCTTATAAGCGCATTTAAATTCCGTGCACCCCAGGTGAACGGATGTTCAGATTTGTGCTTATAATTGTAAGTTTATAACTTACCAGGACGCGCACCGAGTTGGACTCAACGTAATATTTGAAACAAATATTTTACAAGTATCGCCCGTTAAGCTTATAAGCGCTTTCTAATTCCTGGCACTCTGCTTTATAAGCGCTTTCTTATTTCGGGTACTCCCCCGTTCCGACCAGGTACAGGTTAGGGGCAGCATTGAAAAAGCGCTTATAAGCGCTTTTAATTCCGGGCACTCCCCCGTTCCGACCAGGTTAGGGGCAGCATTGAAAAAGTGCTTATAAGCGCTTTTTAATTCCGGGCACTCCCCCGTTCCGACCAGGTTAGTGGCAGCATTCAAAAAGCGCTTATAAGCGCTTTCTAATTCCTGCCAACCAGGCCATGGGCGATAGGAAAGCGGTAGAAAAGCGATCATAAGCGCCTATAAGCGCTTTTAAATCCTGACTCTGCCGGTGCACCCCAGGTTGCACAGAAATGCACTTATAAGCGGGCACTCTGATTTCCAGTTCCGACCAGGTTAAGGGGAATTCAGAAATCGCTTATAAGCGCTTATTAATTCCAGGC